GGCAAATATTAGGAGTCGCTTGGCGAGCGGCTCTTGCAACCCACCTTTGACACGGGAGCCACCAAAGAGCAGAGCCACAAAAGCGCAGCCCACGAACAACGGGGCTCAGATGGAGAGGCCCTTCTCCTCCACACTGTCATTATCGTCACTGCCCTGGCAACGAAAAGCTACCCGCAAAAGAGGGGATCCCAAAGTGGGGGACCTGTCCTTTTGGGCGCCCTGAAAAAGGAAATCCAAACATTGGTCATAGAAAACGGAAACCAAAGATTCTCTCGAAAGGTCGACCCGTTTTGAGGTCGCCTTCAGCTTCTCTTAGAAAGAGGACACTCCAAAACGCAAAAGTCCACCATTTGGACACCTACCGCCCACATATGTGTGAAGCCCGAATGTCGCAAAGGTGAACTTCAAGGATGTTGTTGTAATTCAATCATTTTTATCCTAGTACTTGACTGATTGAGCCTTGCTTATTGCTTGTGGATTCTATCTGTAGTGTAGCGGCAGGCTCACTTGCGACCCGTAGAAAATCCACGTCTGACCAGCAGTCCCTGTCATCCTCCAACACAGCCCTGGGATCTAAAAGAAACTCTGTCAGTTCTCCGAACAGGGGACAGCGGCATCCACTAATCGACATGGGCGGGTCAAAAGCAGAAACCATGCTAGGGGCCTATTGTAAGGAACCAGAAAAAAACAATCATGTGAAAGATTCCCTGGTCCTGCGTCTGACAATCACCCTTCGCGTGATCCTAAGCCCCACCATCCGCAATGGCAACTGCAGCGGTGTCTTCTATGGGACGTATCATGCAACTGCGTGACCAGGACAAGTGTACTTGTCATTGCATGAAACTGATTCGACCAAGTGAACCTGCGTGCCACGCCAAGTTATCCAAAAGTTGGAGACCTGATTGCATTGCAATAGGTCCAGTGGTGTCCAAACAAGTTTTGGAGGCAACTGTTTGACCTGGCACTTCTTTACTTGGCCCTTGGACCTAGCTTCAATGTCGACTACGTTACCCAACCCAAAGCAGCATATGGCATGTCGGACTCCCATTCAAATTCGCCAGTTTCATGAGACACGCCGCTGGCCCATTGCCGCCAGCTCACAATGTCGGTGGACTCCGTCGTCGTCGAATCGGACATTTCCTTCTGGGCCACGTTGGCTGGAATGGCCTGGTCTGGTGAAAATCTCTCAAGGCGAGGCAAACATTGAAAACCCCACGAGATGGTGTAGTCATAGCGCTCTTCACAAGATTGTTGCCCGAAAAATGGACTGGCATGAACTTGTCGACCTCGGGTTGGCTGGGCTGGCTGGTCGACAGGAGCTCACGTGACTACCGCTCTCTGAGTGTTGAGCTTATGTCAGCTTGGCACTGGAGGGCCCGGGTTGGACGGTCAAAGCACCAAAGCTACTAAAGCGGACAATGCACAAAACCGCACACGGGCATTGTCTGGCAAAAGAACCTTCTCACCGACCTCTCTCTTGCCCTTGCAAGTCAGCTCGATGCTCTGAGAACAGGAGCAGCCGGTGGAAGAGCCTATTTAAATGTTCTCTGCAGGATATGCTGCATTGAGAGAGAACCGTTCCACCATTGCACCGGCGCTTGCAAGGCCAAGTACAAGGCCCAGATTCCGCGTGGAAGCCATGACCAGACTATGCAAACCTACCAACAAGCATTCATGCTGATGATCCGATATGATTGATTGTTGTGAGATGGCTTGAGGCAAAGACTAAAAGCCCAGAGTCAATGTCCCAGGAAATAGTTACGTGTGTACCACGCAAACTGTGTGGGGATGGAAATGGATATCAGATATCATGTTGAGCCTTCATTGTTGTCCGCGCTGCCCAGTTGACGCCATTTAGATTCATACAAACACGTGAGGGCAGCTAACTAAGCCAGCCAAAAGTCCGGCGGAGTGTTGCCTTGCCTCTAAGGAGGCAGCCGCATTTTTTGCTTGGCAACAATTGGATTCGACAGGAATCCCTTACATGAAGGTCATGAAGGGCCAAGGTTGGTGCTTTGGCACCTCTGAATCCTAGCAACACACGCTTGCCTCCAACACTGAACGGAAAAAAATGGAAGAAAACAAAAAGAGAAGAAGAACAAACGGACGGAGAAATCGGCACCGGTGCCTGGGCAAGACTCCGCACGATAAAGTAGGTCAGGTAGTGCATCAGCTCCGCGATGAAGAGCGCCAACAAGCCCCAGCCAGGAAGAAGCACGAGACCTGGCCATTGCCGTCTTCAGGGAATCTGGGGCGGTTCAAACGTCAATCCCTATTGCGAAACCACGAAGCGGATCCTTTCGTGACCCAAGGATGAAGGCTTGCCTTTGAACGGCCCGGCTTGGGACACCAAAGGGGTTGGCGTTGAGCCATGCACGTCTTCCCCTGCGACATGGGCTGGCGGGGGGGCCAGTGCTGCCTACGCAAGGCCCGCGCTGAGCTTACGTGGTAAGCAAAACCTCTGATGAGGATGCCTGGAAAGGGAAAATGGCATGGATGAGCAAAACGGCATAGCAAATCCACCTTTAGCAAAATGTCAACTGGAACAAATCCTTTGAAACAACTTAGGTTCAGAGAGGGGTGTCGGTGTCCTAAAATTGGGGAAGCTAAACATCCTGAGCGTATTTTTCGGACATCCTGACAAGGAAGCCTGAGTACAAACCGATTGATCAAGTTGTTGAATTTCAGACGTCAGCTGACACTGTTGTGAAGCGCCCGACATCCAATCTCGCTGGTTCCTAGTAGGGAATGAGCAGGGTTGTGAACCATCCCTTGTGGCTTTCCTTTGCAGGATCCCAAACAGCTCATTGCCGAAACCACTCTTGATTCCCTACCGAGAGAACCAGCAACCAGTAGGATTAGGAGTGCCTCCAGAAACCCACTTCGCGGCTGTGACGCACCATGAAGGCCAGGCCTTGCTCTTGATAAACTGATCCGCTCAGCACAACTACGAGCACTCCGAGGATCAGGACATCCAGCATGGCCATCTTCTTGAGATATTTGGCCAAGGTGATAAAGTTGCATCGGTTGTCCTGACGCCCAGCGCGCGAAGCCGCAGCTCACAGCCTTAGGGCATAACCCCAAGAAGAGAAACAATGCCTCGCTCGCTGTGCGGTTGCAGCACGCCTGTCCTCAACAACGTGGTGGTCCGAGCTGCAAAGCGTCTGTACGGCAGCCACGGCCAGAACAGCCATGTCCTTGACATGCTGCCAAGGAGAGCTTGCTCCCTCACTTTGCCGTAAACATGTCGTCCTCTTGGGGGGACTCGGGATCATGTATTTATCTTTTCGGAGGGAATGCCTGAAAAAGCATCCAACTCCAAGCACAACGTTAGGGGCATCGGCCAAGTCACTTTGGCACGTTTCCGCGGAAGCAACCCAGCCCCGGGACACCAAGTACCGTTTCTCTAAAGGCTCAGGCGTCTAGTGCGCCAACCGAGCCTCGGGGTCAGCGGCCGTTTCCTTGTTCTTTTTTGCGAGATGTTCGAACCAACCAAGCCCCGAATCTTCACATGTTCCCTGCTCTTGATAGGATACATCACGAGGTGCGTAGAAGTTCCCCCGATTTCAGGCGGCGCTGACAAGTGTCAAGCAAGGTCAGCCCGACGACAAAGAGCACAAGCATCACCACCGCAAATATGGCATTGGCGTCCTGAGAGCAAACTTTTGCCGTTGCCAGCTTCTTGCTGCAAGTTCAAAATATTCCTGATATCACAGTGGCTTGGGGACTCAACCATCCCGAAATAGAAATAAATTTAATAAGAAGAAAACAAAACAATATATATACATATATTATCAAGAACATGTCTACAACTGCCAAAGTCCCCCCTCCCAAAAATATACAACAACACACATATTATTGCAGTCCGCTTCGGTCGTCCAAATGGCCCCTCCCTTTGCCACACAAGCGATAAGATCGTAATTCACCAAGTAAGGAACTTCAATGGAATCACTCAAGGCATTTGTGGGAGGTAGCCCTTACGAGGGCCACGAGAGGTAGCTTCGTCTCTGCCCACGGCCTTCAGAAGCCCTTTCGATCGTGGAAAAAGAAAACAATTTTGCCCTGGCGGATTGATTTGGGAGGACCTTTTCTTGGACAAAAAAATGGAAACGTCACATAGCTAGTTGTCCATTCTCCGACATGGAAAGAAGGCAAAGAATCTGGGGGAGAAGTGGATATGCCACCTTCCACACAGTTGCTATCCTTTTGCCAAGGACCCCCAAAGGAGATCAAGCCTTGTTGAGGGGTTGATATTAGGAAGTGATACCCCCCCTCCCCATAGGCCCCCTTAAAAGTCCACGATTCTGGCTTTCATTGAATCTAGTTTGCACACATTCCTAATATGTTCGCGGCACTGGCACTGAATGCCACGAGGCAGCGGAATGCCGCTCAGTGTTGTCTGAAACCTCAAGCCCTGACGGCCGTGGACCATGTGGGGCCTTTTGAGCAGGGCTGTCTTCCAAAGACTTCTAGAATTGGATTTTCCGAAAGGAACTGGTGGGTTGGCCTCTCCGGTTTGCCTTTTGAAGGCCAGCCAAAACTTGACGGCCTTCGTTTTGTAGAACATCAGTCAGGAGGTCTTAGCTCGCGCCAAGCTTCGAAAGACTCCTGCTGCGCTTTCATGAGCATCTCCTAAGCTGAGAGCTGAAGCCACCCTTCGGCTTGCCATGTGCCATGGTCAAAACTCCCTGAATGATGGGGTTTGTAAGGATGGTCATCAAACCCTTGGTACAATTGTGAAGATGTTATAGACTCGCGGACTCCGAGTCTCGATGAGGAGGTGCCTGATGACGACAAGAATCCGATCGACTCGCAGCATCATGAATGAATCTCGAATGAAACACGTGCTTGAATCTTGCTATTCATCAAACCCCTATTTGGGGCGGGGTCAAACTAGGACCCCGCCAAATAGTCAGCACAAAGTATTGGTTGCTGCTTGTCAAGCTTCGACACACCCGGGGTTTGGTTTGGCCTGATGCGGGTCACAAACGCGGGAATTACATTGGACAGCCCAAGCTCATCATCCACTGGCGGGCAGGCTCATCACCTCGCAGTGGGCCTACACTGGAGCTTTGTCCATTGCTGCATCAAAGTGTATTGTGCCGCATTGTTCTTGACCAAACGACTCCAGCCTAGCAGCCTAGCACCAAACCAGTCCAGAGATTCTATCGCTAGCCCAAGCAACGACTATGCTTGGGCGATCAGCTGCTCTCTGAAAAGACATGTCCCAAGGTCTTCCGCTCCTGACCCACATCCCCTCCCCCGCCCCGCCCCCGCGGCCGAAGCTGCAACACATGTGAAAATCGTCACGTCAGCGTAAGCATTTTTCTCCACGTCGAGCTCTTCCATGATTTCTTGGTGAGCGCAGGAAGCCAACGCAATGTGTTGCTTGGTGGCGGGCTGCATGCCGAAACCATGGACTCGTTTAATCCGTGCACGGTTGTCCACATCATTTATCCACCAAGCATCTCTTCCCTCTCTATCCGAACAGCTAGGACAGTCGGAAGGGAACTGTCTTACATGTCAAACAGCCCAAAGCCTTGGGTGACAAAACCACAGTGCAAGCACTGGATAAGAAATCATTGGATAAGGACTTGGGGGGCTAAGATTTGCCAGCCAGGTTGCAACTGCTCTTGCTGCTAACCCTGGATTTCCCCGACCAAGTTATTGACAAACTTGTCCGACAGCACAAATGGATGCAGCCAAGAGAAAGCCGTCAGTGGCCTACAAAAGGCATGCTCGAGCAAGCGGAGAGGCCGCTAAGAAATTGAGCCTCTGGATTTCTTAGCGAAAAGGCGGTCAACCGAAATGGCCGCTAAGAAATTGACCTCCTGATCTGTTTGGCGAAAAGGCCCTCAACTGAAAAGGCCGCTAAGAAATTCCGGGACGCTCGTTTCTTGTCAAAAAGCCGTCAACCGAAAAGGTCGCTAAGAAATTTAGCCCCTGAATTTTGTAGCGGGCTTTTCAGTTGACGGCCTTTTCGCTAGGAGACTCAGGGGATCAAAATCTTTCCGGGTTTTCATCTGCAAGATCGGCTGGCGGTACTAAAGGAACTGGTTCTGAAGCTGAAGCTGCTTCAAGCGGTGCCTTCGCGTCCCTGCCTATGCGTTTCAAAGAGCAGCATGCAACATGGTGCAATGGACGCTAAGAAACCGAGCCCCCCGGAATCTCGATCAACTGATTTCTTACACGGCGCTGGGGCTGTAGCTTTGTGCTGATGGACTAGATGGACCCATGCCTATGAGATCTCCTGCCACTCCCGACCAGCCAGTCAGCCACAGTCCACCCCAGCCAGATTTTGTGCAGCATCGCGACATATCATCATATGAATCATATGGTAGTGAGACTCTACGCCTAAAGAACACGTTGAGGAATCAAACGTTTGCATCTTGTCCATCAGATTCATGCGCAGTCTGCAAGCTACCGGGTGGGGCCAAGGCACGAATCTGCCACTCAGGCAGTCCATGCTCTGCTAAGAGATCGGGCTTCAGCCGCAAGCCCAGACAAGACCTTTGCACGGGTCAAACAGACTCTAACGCATGGAAAGCAGACGACCGCTCTATGACCTACTCAATGTTCCGAGTCTTGCAAGTATCCCACATCTATCTAGCTTTGTTGGCTTCTGATGTGCATGATCTCAGGCCAGGATTCAACTGTTTGTGAACGCCACACAGAACACATGCCAGATGAAAAGCTGACGCGCGTGGCATCTCATCATGATAAATCAGGTAACCTCAACATAATTCTGCATCTTCCCAGTTCCTTCTCATACCTTCCCTGGTCACGCATGCAGGGGGCAGGCAGAACAATCTCCCAGTTGAATTGATGACAACCAATGTTCGAGCATGAAGAAAGACTGATCCTGACGGCAGCTTTGAACTAGGAATCAACATGCAAACACCCGCAAGCGGCAAGCAAAAATCTCGGCGAGTTGCCATGACAAGCCCAGAACGAAGAAGACCAGGAAAACTATCTGGACGACAAAGACTGTCGTCGCTGTGCCTGGCGGGCTGCAAAATGTGAATGAAGCCCAAGGTCCCCAATGCAGCTGCACCTGTTGGCCGTGCGTCCACTTGATTGCCATCTCCTCACCTAGCATGCTTACAAAGAAACGCAAAGGATGTGCCGGTTTGCTACTTTGATGATGGCAATCGCAAAACAGCGCTTCTCGTGTGGACATTTTGTGAACAGGACTCCACAATCAACACGTAGCGGCATTCACATGGCCATGATTGGATACTTGGCTGATCTTTGTGGCGTTCAGAAGGCCTGCTTTTCTCGTGTGAAGAGCAAATCGACCAACCCCACAGGTGGGATGAAGGCAGGTGAGCTGAGCCAGCCACTGGCGAGCCGTTCTGGCCACCATTCCAAGGTATCCTATGTGGATTTCACGTGTCAGGTGCTTCAGGGGAGTCAAGGTGGATGCCAATGCAACTATGTGCGATCGGAGAATCCAGAAATGAAGAAACATGAAAGCTAGCAATGCACTAAGAAAGACACGAACAAAGCAACAAAGAAACAAAGAAACAAACAAACAAACAAACAAGCAAACAAGCAGACAGACAGATGGGCAGACAAACAAACAGACAGACGGACGGACAAATAAACAAACAAGCAAGTAACAAAGCAACAAAGCAAGCAAGCAAACAAACAAGGATTACGATACCACAGAAATACAAATTCTGTACACTTCAATCAAGCCTAGGCCTTCGCGCAAAGTCACGAGCTCCGACAGGAAACTAAAAACTAAAGACACAAAGCAGCAAGCCTGGCAGGCGCGAATTACTGGCTGCGTCCAGATCCGTAGAGCAGAGACCTTGGTCGCCTCTTTTGGGGCCCAACTCGTCGCATCTGCGGGGGTCAAAGAGCAGTCGCCCCTTAGAGTGCCTGGGGCGACAGAGGGCGCAAAAGCCACGTGAGGGATCCTTGCCGCCGGCCAAACAAAGCAAATCCGCGATCCATAAGCAGTGAGTTCGGCTCAACCATGCAGCAATCTGGGCGTGTCTGAAACTAAGGGACCTTTCAGGTGTTTGAAATATTTGCTTCAGCCCTGAAAGCTGCTCAAAAGGGTCATGGTCCTCGCGATTTGCAACAAACTCGGTTCCACCCCCCTACCCTCCCGCGCCTCGTTTGCCCAAATTCCTCAAAACCCAGGGCTCCTTGGGAGTCTTGGTCTCTGCGCTCTCTGGCATTCTCGGGAGGTGAATGCCTCGGAGCCCGGGCGATCCAATTGCGCACTGCCCATGAAGGGTTGGCCGGCCAATACAAATGTACTCTCAATTGCCAGTGATAAGTGTTGGTCCGAGCAACACACCTTGGAGCAAAAACGAGCGATGTCCCAAAAATGTTGTGGGGCCAAAACATGGGCCGGAATTCGCCGTTCCGAGCTTTGAGCAAGACTGGTGCACTTGTCTGGAGATTCACCAAGGTGTTGGCGTTTAAGCTTGATAATTGTGGTATGGGCTCATCTCACAATGGGCGTTCCTTCCCCTTTCAAACTGCCCAAAAAGGAAACCCTCCAGAAACTGCACGCTCATAAACTGTCACACAACTTTCCCTATTGTCATGAGCGCCGGATTGAGATGAGACTGCCTATTTTGAGACCAACCCACATGAAGATTGTTCAGAAGTGTTCTGTATCTTTCCTTGACCTGCGCGAGGACCTGCGCTGACAGCCATAGTACCGCTCTGATTCCCGGCTCGACAAGAATCTAGACGAATTACCAGAAATCACAAGCTGGAAGTGAGTGTGACTTTCTTTCAGGGTACCCATTTTGCAAGTGGGTTTCACAAAAACGAAAGGAAACCACCAGAATGAGGCTTCCCATACTTTGAGACAAGCCCAAATCAAGAACACCATGTAAGGCACCTCCTTTACTCCCTTGAGTGCATTGGCGCAGACAAGATGCCAAGGGAGCTGATGGTGGAACCCCAACAGAAGAGGGTGTAGCAGGTGAAGCCGAGTTCCTGCCAGCTATCACTTTGGAAGGTCTGACGTGCCCAGACACTCTCAAATAGGTTCCTGGACAATCTGGCCCAACAATTGGCTTGCTTCCTCTTGATATGCCGCTGTGTATCAACCACAAGGACTCCTCATGCCAGCACAGCGATCAAAAGGTGCATGTTTGCTGCGAGAACAAATGAATCGACAGGGAGGCGTTGATGGTCTCTGTAATCATGCGTAACGTATTACTCATCTGTGAGTTTCTCGAAATCTCTGGACCCCTTTTTAGTTGGTATTCAAAGGGAGCCCAAAAGGAAACCAACGAATTTAGGGGGATCCTGCTATGAGAAACACCCATCTGTCAGTGACACCGTCCAGTCTGAACAGGCCGTTGATGGGATAGTGGTTGAGATGGTGCACCAAGTAGAAGAGGAAGATGTAAGCAATCAGATCCTCAGAAAGAGATGTAGCAACGCGACACTCAGACAAGTCTGCTCAACAGCTACCCTCCCACCAACAGACGTGGAAGTGCACAGCCCCTTTTTGGAAGACCATGCCGTCTTGGGAAAGAGGCCTGTGCACTTCCATGTTCTGGGAGGTTGCCCTTGCAATGCAGAAAAACCCCCCAAGAGATTCATCTAGATTGACTGGCCATGCCAATGTTCATTCACAAGTAGAATATGAACAGTCGACGGACCCCTCAGCTGTCTGCAGCGGCAAACAGCAATCACCATTCAGCGGCACTCAAAACAGGTTGACGATTGCTGTGAACATGGGACTGAAAGATGCTCAGACTGCCCCTCTTCATGTACAGTATACTAGACCCTCCCCCAGTAGAATGTATCACTGGAACTTGGGCCAAGGCTTTGAAGGGATGGTGCTGGATAGCTTGCAGAGCTGAACACATCAAGACATCAGCACCAGTCAGCACCATCATTCGCAGCTGCGCTATCATCAGTACCAAAGGCATTTATCCAAACGGACGCACCCGGAAAATAAACCTTGGCATGTGCCCCTTCGCATACGAGTGGAAAAAGCTCAAACCAGTTGAAACAAACTTATGCGAATTCGCGTCAGCACACACTCGAGTGTGCGACTCACAACCAGTGTTTGTTCTCAAAGAATCTAGGATAGGAATTGGTTGTATTTTGCCGAAGGTGGGGGAGTCAAACTCAGAGGGCCTTTCCGATTAGAGCGCCCTGATGGCCGAGCAGCAGGGCAGGCCCATTTGGAGATCTGCTGGACCTTGAGCAGAAGCTGAGGAATGTGACATCCTCTGAAAACTTGCAAAGAGGGAACCTGGACTCTTGGGGGAACCTCCAAAAAACTAGACTCATGAAGTAGAGGGGGGTGCACAGATTCAGGAGTGTATGAGGGCACTCCCACTGAACTCCAAATGTTGATGACGTATAGCTGTGAGCTAGTGCCCAATCTCCAGGAATGCAAAGCAATCACGATTGCCTGGCACCGACTGCCTCAAAGCCGGACAGGCACAACTGTTCACAAGCACGAGGGATACCTTGCACCGAACCCCCACGTTCACTTGATGAGATCGACATGCGAATTTCCATCTGCTGGAGGGTCAGAATGAGAGAGAAGGGGCTTGCCATCTTGAGCTGGGAGGAAAGCTGGTACTGCTACCAATGGGAGGCAGTGAAGTCGATTTCTTTGCGGTCTGGCATCCGACCATGAGTGGCAAAAACGCGACAGCTAGATTCAAAAGCACCTTGTTTGCAGTAATGGACAAAATCGCTCTTGTCTGCGCAAAGGAACATCAACATGTGGGGCGTCCCCCCATCGGTTCTCAGCATCTCGCAAAATGCACCACCCACAAAAGGATTCTTGTATCCAAGGGATAGAAGCTTTTGTGTTGGAAGCAGCGTTGTGCACCCACTATACTACTTGGCAGCTGATGCTCGGAAATCGCAGCCGAAGCCTATGCACTTGGTGGAGAATCGCAATTATTCTGCACAAGCGTAGCGGCGAAGTGCATTTTGCCAGTACTAGCTTGAAACTCGACACTCTTCTGTGCGAGTGTAGTGGGCGATGTACACTTTGGCAGCTCCAGCTCGAAAGTCACAACTGTTCAATACAAGTTCTGTACACCAAGTACACTTTGGCGGCTCGCGCTCGAAAATAGCAACTTTGCAGGCCAAGTGTGGTACAGGGAAGCACGGTGGATTGCTTCTCCCATTCAACACAGACCCAAAGCAGGCCCCTCTCCTGGTAAAACAAAAACAACAACACATGCAATTCAAAGCTTCCTGCAGCCAAAGTCTCCGGGCAAGTTGCCAGGCTCGACTAGTTGCAACAGCACAAGCCACCGATAAACATACGCACAACTCTTCCGAGCATGCTTACAAAGTTTACCAAGCAATCACTAAGAAGAGCTTACGCGGGCGCCTACGCAACATGGTACCCCAAAAAGTGCATACGCCTGCTTACTAACTTACGACGTGCAGGATTTTGCGTACACGGGGCCTTGTTCTGACACAACTCTTGCTTAGGATGTAACGGGGGGGTTTTAGAGCTGCTCAATTACGTTGTTCTTCTCCGGGCTGGTCTGAGCTTCTGCAGGGTACATCTTCAATGAAACATCAATCTTCTAAAAGTCCCACGCATAGGTCACAATTCTCAGAAGGGTATTGTTTTTCGGGGCGTCCCCTATCGGGTATGCATGTGTCCGAGTGTGGAAGGCACAGCTATGTCCAGTCTCTGTAGTCACTTCATCCATAGTTCTTGCTCGACTGTCATACACCTGTGTCCCGCAAAGCTCTGCAAGCTTTGTCGCCTGTGCGTCCAGCGGAGGCTGGTTTAAGCTCTCGAGCCAAAAGAACTGTCTGAGATTCTAAGTCCCAACTGCAGTGAACGACGGACTAGTGCCAGCGCAACATCATCTACACTGCACTTCGCGCCATGCCTTCTCTTCTGACGGGTTGCGAATCGAATGCAGCCTCGGGCCGCAAGCACTCGGCTCTTGTCCTGACAGGAAGGCCAGGCGGAAGCCGCTGATGGCTGCAAGCAAGGCCCCTCCACTTCAGCACAGCACGTCGGCTGGTACATCTGCGAGTGAACCTAGCTTCGTACTTGTTTCTGTCTGGATTTGCAATTAGCTTACTGTTGAGTGAACATATTTTGTCACATCCAAGCGGATTGGCCCAGCGTCCTTGCTGCATCTCCAGCACTCGCCCAGGATCAGAAGTCCCAACTTCAACAGTGGCACCACTATCGCAAAGATCGCCACCATCACCTTGCCGAAAAGATGATGTCCCCTGCCACAAAACAAATGCAGTAGCGAACCAAAATGTGATCCACTTTGTGGCACCCAAGTTTCTGTACACCCAACCCAGAAAGCTCATGGGCTGACGGCAATGCGCATTGGCTCTTCGAGGCTCCAGGCCCTTGATTTGCATACTACCGGCAAATAGCCGTCTCCCACCAAGAGGGTAGACACGCCCAGCTTCAGTGGCAAAATCCAAAGACACGCCATGTTCAGCCATCCAGTTCCCAAAGGCTACCGACCAATTGTGGACAATTGGAACTTCAAAATGGCTACAGCTCAAGTGGCTACGAAACCCAATACAGAGCACCACCTGAAAAGTGGCCGGACATGAATCCCCACCTAAACCCTGGAATGATGATTCCACGGTAAACACCAACAAACACTGGTTTCCCAGGGTTTCAAAGTGGTGCGACCGGATTTCGCAACCATCCACCGGATGGACAAAATCCCGGCCAAGTCCGAACTGGCCGCCCCCTTCTTCCGCTTGCCGAGTGGCGGCCCCCAGCCATGAGCCCGTCTCCCCGAGGAGCTGTATGAACTGCAACGTGCTGTCCGAGGCCTCCTCCAGAACCTCCCCGACAAAACGTGCGATCGCTTCGATAAGCAGGGGCCCTGAGAAATGGCTCATGACCCCAGGCAAAACCAAAGATCCGATTTGCTTTCCTTTAAGGGAAGTTGTGGGTTCATTCCCAACACCCAGAAGGTAATTACGATACTGAGCACCAGCAAGGAAAACAAATCACAGAGAAACGCTTGAAACGCCATTCGCGCTGGGCCATAGAAGCCCTCTTTGGTCGTCCGCCAAACCATGCGCTTCTCTGCGAAATTCGCGCGGACACCAACCAACCTGTGCCAAGTACCATCATAACATCTAAACCCGCATTGCTGGTGACCATCCCTGCAGAAGCCGCAAACAACGTGTCATATTCATCATGACGCACTTCGATTTCAAAAACTGAAAAGCACCTCTTTGGTGCACTTCCCTAAGTTTACGCCAAACAGCCCACAAAGCAAGCCCCTTCCAGCCCTCTTTGAGCCCTAATCTTCAACCAAAGCCCAAAAACGAAACATAAGTGGCAAGTGGTGCCAAGTGGCAATGACATCCACGGCTCCGATCTTCATGCTAAATAGCGTGACCTGGGATCGTGTACAATTGGGCGTCCCTCCACAATGAGGTGACCCTCCTTTTGTTTGGATTGTGTTTAACGAGATTAGAAAACTGCTTCAGGAGGACGAACGTTTTGGCCTCTTAGGGCTCCGTAGCTAAACAAACCAGCCGATTTAAAGGTGTGTTTGGTCAGATCTAAGGTTGCATCTTGTGTGGCAGGTATGGTCAATCTTCACCCTGTTTACATTACACAATTCTAGAGGCTTCAAGTGTGGCAATTGACCGCTCCGGATGTGGTCCTTCACTTGCAGGATACTGGGGGGAAAGGGCGCGAACGCTGCTGTGGGCGCCCAAGATGGCACACTTCTATCCAAATGATGTATGGGCGGTTCTCGGGGCAGAGCGAACTGTTGTCTAGGTGGTCACAATAGAACTCAGTTTGGCATGGCCCGCAGCTTTGTCTCAATATGCATGGCATGGGCAGTCAAACAACGTTTCGTGCAACGTCAAAAACATCACGAGCTGTAGGTGCTATTATCATCGACTTAATATTAGGCTATACATGTATATTGAACGGGCCATGTTCAGAAGCACTGGTCAATGACAGCGATGCCAACTGTACAGGAACTGATAGTGCAAGAGCAGGGGAGGGGCCAAGTCTAGCATGTTGATGAAACGTGCCGATAAACTTCGCCTTTTCGGGGAGTGAGTGACACGTCTGACAGTCGACATGAAAACCCACAGGCTCTCGGATGTTTTGTTGACCTGCGAAGAGCTGCTGAGTGCCCGAAGGCAACCCTAAGAAAAACACTGCTGAAACAAATATTTGTTAAAAAAAAGGAAATGGGATACTCACCAGAATCCCATGTCAGTTGGGGGTACAACAAATATTATCTCAAAGCTTTGCTTCCTCGAGTAAACCCTACAACGCCCTGCAACATGCGGTCGAGAAACAAATATTGCTGGGATCAGCAATGCATAGCCTCAGCTGCAATTTGGAAAGCAGCGACTGAAAGGGCTGGGGCCTGGGGTGCCAGGCGATCCAAAGCTGCGGGATAGCCAGAAACCATGACGTGGGTATGTGGCGAAGTCCACGCTTGGTTTCATGTTGGCCCAAGAAGCCCGTCTGAAAGGGTCCCATTCCTTTCGTGTTAAGACCTGAGATCCTCCTCTGAGAAAACGGCAAGCCAAGGCACTGTATGCCAGCAGTGCAAGTGCCCAAGCGGGCGGTGTGCCTGAGACTGAGGTCGAGAATCCATGGTAAGCAAGATGTATGAATTTGTACCACAAATATCTTCGTGTGGTAGAGTATATGTGTTTATCTATTTGAGTCTGTTCGTTTCACCTTGGTTTAAAGGGAATCTTAGAGGAAAACGGCCATTTTGGGAGTCCCTATTCGCAATGTCTGGGACTTACCTGGTGCCTCAACAGGCTTGCACCCCAAGACATCCAAGTCTTAGAGCAGAGGGTCCAAGCAACGGCCAAAAGCCACTTGTTTTTCTGTGGCACATCCGATCTTAAGGACAAGTAAATGCAAGCTGCGTATGATCTGTTCATGCCAAAACCAGCAAATGAGTGCTTCTCAAAATCGTGGGCCCCTAAACCAGTTGATGTCCTTTTTGGCTTCCCCTCTATCAAGCAACAGAGGGTCCACCATTTTGCAAAACCGGCACATGCGTTAAAGGGCACCACAGGACTAAGAACTTCCTCGATTCGTCCGCTGTCAACTTCCGGCTGAGCAGCTCTTGGTCGCCTGGCCCAGTCGGGTCCCAGCGCGGGGTCGGCAGAGGAAACCACGAGAGCCAGCCATTTGGGCCCTTTGAAACCATTCAAACGGGGGCCCTGCTTTTTTTCACACACAAAGGAAAAGGAGTATCCGTCTGATCTGGCACTCTTGACACGAGGAAGCTGAGGAGGCTCATGGATGAGATGAAACCAGGTAGAGGCATCTGAGTATTTATCCCAAAACGGATGGCCCAAAAGAAGAAGCTGCAAGAGACCAAAGAACACCCATATTTCGTGGTGGAGTTGACTGACCGTGCGGATCACGAACGGTTTGCATAAGGAGGAATCCGTTTGCAGACGGAACATTCAGGATTTATTATCATCTGCACGATCGATTTTCCAAGAAATCAACCACCTGACTCCACATCTTCACGTTTATCGTTTATGTGTCCGCCTTTTTTGACAACTAGGGGCGCTCTTGCGGATAGTCTTAGAAAACAAAACGGAAAAGGTGCCATCGGCCGTATGTGTGTATGTATGTGTGCAAAAACTAACTGGATCTCTGCATATTAATCCCATCCCAAATGATCAACACGTTGGACACTTGCAACACCACTTAAGGATACCATCATGAAATCGCCATTTTGAAGGGGGCCAACGTGTTTTGACAGATGCCCATATGGCAGTTTCCTAACTTGGTTGGTTACGCTTCATTACTTTTGGTCTTCCCCTCCTCCTTTTGAACACCATCCAAGGGGGGGCGGCCTAACAAACTTTAGGCCACTCAACAAAGCCGACCACTCGTTTTAGTTTTGGGACCCATCTTTGACTTAACAATCGCTCAAACATGGTTTCCACGCAAAAGGATTGGATGCCTTCATGTTGACCACTTTTCAGCCAAAAAAGCCTCCTAAAGTGGAAGCTTACCTTTACCTCACTTTTACTTCCTGGGCCTTCTCCCATAAAGAGCATTTTTTCCCGGACTCTGGTCCACATGGAGTGAACCCTCAACAAGACAGACCCAGCGTGTTCCCAGCGCCGACCTGTTTCGTCACAGGCTTCACATCCGTCGACTCGACACGGCGCCTTGAGGCCCCTGGTCTTCCAATCCCAGCAAGCTCCGCCGCCCACCACCACCAGCATACCACATGCTAGCACCACCTCGACTCGCTTGGGACAAACAAACCTGTAAACATGGTTCGATGGAAGCTCATTTTGACAGATGCCCAACTGCAAGAAAACACAAAAGCGGAACGCCGGTTTGGTGTATGGTTAGGAATGCCCCCCACTCACCTCCAATTTCCCAGAATGTCAGGCGAAAGGTGACAGGCGCGGCATGGTCTAGGGAAGGGGAGCCAGCTGCCCCCGCACAACTTAGTGCGAGAAATTTGCCCTTTGTCACACTCTGCCGAGATGCCCTGGCGCCGCACCCCCCGTGCCAAGTTCGGCCAAGATGCAGCAATACGATTGATGGACTCCTGCCAAGGATGGCAAGGGCTAACCACAGCTATCCTGCGAACAAAACACCCCCGCAAGCAGCTGTTGAATAGGGGAGGGACCAAAGGGCGCACAGGTCTTGCTGCCCAATTGGGATGTGTTGGGATTAGCTCCTACTTTTTACATCGTAAACTGTAGCCCAGGCAACATCGTGCCTGGGAGTTCCCATCGAGCGAGAGCGCCATTCAAAGCAAGACTCGCAGTGGCTCAGCTTCTCTGAATCCTCCCTGAGCCAAAATGGTTCCACCACGCACGGTCCGCTTCCTCTGCTTCCCCTATCTGCAGAATTGACTAAATCACTTGAACTGGAACATGCTGCTCAGGCGGAACAGGATGGGCAAAGCGGGACGGATTGGAGTGGAAAGAACTGGACTGCCGCCGTGCTTTATTGATAGATTGACGGACTGCCTTTGCGCCTGATTGGTTGTTTGCTTGCTCTCCCGTGCTGGCCTGCTTGCTTGTGTGCGCACATGTACTGTATACCTTTGCGGCCGTCGCGCATGCCCCTGGTATTCTCGCTAGGCCTCTGGCTACCTCTTAGAACCGCTACATATCGCATGTAGAAGGGTACCACGCTCGTGTCGTGAAAGGCTACACAAGCTAATGGACCCCGGCTTCAACGGCAACTCTGTCTTGGACAGGCCAAGACATCAGCGGCCGAAATCGTTTGACGTGCCTGCTTTAAACCCAGTGATGACCGGCTTGGACAAAGTTCGACAAATGCGTGTCATTGCAGGGTGCATTCTGACGGTGACCAGAGCCTGGGCAAAAAACAACAACCTCTTCAAAAACGGACAAAGGGTACCCCGACCTTCTATGAAAGCATGCTCAAAATGGTCCCGTCTGCAGGGGGGAAATATTGTTGACCCCTTCTGAATGTGGGTGCGCTCTCAAAGAATATGTCTTTGAATCGGGCGGGTGATCGCAATTGAGCATTTATGGG